ACAATCTTTATATGACAGAATTATTGAAAATAAAATTAATAGTTGGTAAAGCACTTATACATTGTAGTGCAGTCCCGAACAAATGAAATTTATTCAGGGCAGTCAGCTATTGGCAACATGCGTTGTCAACATGTAAACTGACAGCAGTGTTGCATATGAAATTGAGCAACATAGTCACTCCCACTTCCAGTGTAGTCTCGCCGTCGTGGTTAGTGTCGGCTTACATTGTGGCGGCTGGAGCGCCAGTTGGCAACCGGACACCACGGTAGGCATTCACTGAAAGGGAATCAATTGAGACAGAAATAGCTGCTATAGGCCGGGACACAGATCAGTAAAGGCCCAAGCGAAGCTAGTCTTCGCAAATCAGACGCGGACGAGAAACACACCACTCGTGTATTAATTATTCCAGAAGTGTGGATAAAAGGGAAGTAATTTTGGTTTAGGAAATTATTTTCTTTATATTACTTCATTCCGAATTCATGTAAATACCGTCACCCCTTTTGGTTTTACATTATATTTTGATTAGTTAATGTGAAGCATACTATAATGATGACTTACTGTATATGTCATTTCTACTGGATATAATTTTTCTTTAGGGATACCCATTTCAGTTATTAATTCACTCTCAAGAATGAATTGCTTTACAAACAGTCCGTTTTATTTTCACCCCCTTTATCACATGTAATTTTGGTTTTAGTTTATATATATCATCAGCTAAAAAAATCATGGATATAATTATACATAAATACAGGTTACAATAAAAATAAAGTAGCGAATATCTTTCATGGAAGCAAGGTATTCATGGAAAAATGAACTTCTACTGGCAGCAAGCACTGTCGGCCTGCAAAGTGACAGCTGTGTTGCACATAAGGTTCAGCAGCATAGTCGCCCCCACTTCCCGCGTTGTCTCGCCATCATGGTTGGTGTCGTTGCACCGCAAGCGGCCGTACTGTGGCGTGAGAGTGAGGTTCTCCGCATGCAGCTCCGCGCACAGAGCCCTCACGGCCAGACCATGAGGCAGGAGCGAGTCCCACCACCAGAGGCCCTCCGAGTCGGCCTTGAGCCAGTCCCTCTCAGCCCGAGAGGGATTGGGCCCTCGGATCTCGGACTCTTCTACCTCCCGAATGTAATGGAGGAATACCATGTCACTCCATTCGATGTTGCTGTCAGAGAAGATAGCGGGTCGGATGGGGGTGCTATGGCGCGCAAAGGGCTTTAGCCGACTCTCCGACAGCACGAGGACGCGAGTTCGCAGTGATATACGATGCAGCAGAGGGACCACTCGAGAGAGGCCTTCTCTCATGAGGTCCAAGACACTGAGATTAGGAATAACGTGTCCCCAGTCCAACTGCCCCAGTGTCCAGGTAGAGTATCCTGTACAAAAAGAACGTCAGTAGTAATTATTACAAGAAATTGTTATCATGCATCACAAGGAAGCTTAAAAAGCTTCCAGGATCAGTGTTCATACATTTCTTCTAATTTCTGGGTGCTCAAATACAGACATTCAAAGTGGACACTTAATCGGACCTGTGATCGAAGGGCATATTGAAAATTAAGAAGCGAGGAAAAAAAAAAAACATATGCACTGGTGTATGTGGCATGAAAATTCATATTACAAACGCGTCACTAATATTTGTAAGAGTACGAGTAACAGCTCTCTGCAGTTGAGCACACGCAAACTTACCAGTCACCAAAAGATCAGGAACCGGGTCAGTCCCTGCTGCCAGTCTCTTCAGGAGCTGAACGTCATTTCGATACTCAAAGGTCGAGAAAGAGCTCATTAGAAACACGGAAAATCTGAGAAAATCAAGGAGATAAGGTCACTGAAGCATTCCTGGTCCCCAAGGCAGGCGTACTCCGTGAACATATCAAATGTGAACCAATAGAGGGTTTGTATCTTTTCTCAAAGCAGGACCACCGAACTTGAGCAGAGCAAAGGTGTAAATATCGAAGCATTTATCGCAATAAATATCGGTACCAGCCCTTTGCTAATAATAATAAACGTGCCACTTAATCCAGTGGCTGGCCATCGAAGCGGGAATTTTGAAGCCTCTCATCTAAGACAGTACTTTTCACATAAATTTCGGTTACTATTACGAGATAGGAGTCACAGGAGAAATGGAAAATCATGTTTGGTTTCATATTTTCTGTGTTCGGTTGATGATGCTCCCTTCCAGCCTCTGGACTAAGACTAAACAATGCAGAAATACAAACCTCAAGGTAACACGTAGGCTTGGGTTGACCTTCGACACAGCGTCAAAATTTTCCCACATGAAGTTATCCAATTTGCTTATGACGTCCTCAAGACTGCCTGAAGTGTTCTGTGGAAGATGAAGATGTTTCAGCACAAGCTGGTTCGAGAGCAGCACTGATGTAGATTACAACAATGATCGTAGAAAGTCATGATTTTTCTCATATTACTTTCATTCAGTAATTTCAGTTTATTTGTTTTCTTCAATTTGTAGGATGGTATTAGATCGGTATTTTAGTACGAACGCAT